AGATTAAAAGATAAATTTATAGCTAACATTTGCTATCTCAGTGGTAGCCACAAATGATATACGTGGGCCAGGACTGGATCATAAACTGGCAACACCTCCTCTGGAGTTAAGATGATTATCTCTGATGGGGACACTCACGAATCACGCTGGCAACTTGCCAAGAGCCCAAGGGCTCCAGCTAAGCATGTTTAATGAGAAAATAAATGCATGCAGCTTGAATTCTGGCTTTTTTCCAATGCCTACCTTGATATACAAATAGAAGTCTCTCAACTAGGAAATGTGGGGTGGGGGTGGGGGGGAGAGAGAATCCTCACAGTTCATTAGTTAATGCTGAAATGAACAGTTACGTGATAAAAGTACCTTGCTAATGATCTATGGCCTAGTTTCTTGTGTAATGTACTGGACATATAGTTAAATGTGCCACACCCAGGAGATTATGTTGTTTTCCCCCTCATCAGTGTCTGTACCTCTGAGGCACATTAAGATCTCCTGCCATCTGTCAAGCCCATAACCAACATTCTTGGGCCAAAGTTTGCCTATTATCCTGCTGATGAGTGTCGAGTTGCAGCTCGGCATTCAGAGGAAAATCAGTCTCACACCATGATAGGTTCCGAAATATGGCTGCTCTTAGGGCTAATGCAGCACAGCTTTTATTGTGTGAAATAGAAAGATACAAAAATACAAGCCAAGCAATTTGTTCTAGCCAGCAGATAAAGACCTTGGTACTAGACCATGCGAGCGATCAGGCCATGCTACGTTAGCCAATCATATGGACAGCACGAGCTGTTCACGCGCTGTTCATGCTCCAAGGATGCTTCTAGCTATGAAATCACCCTGTAACAATAAGAACTTTGCTCATGCTCTCATGTACAAGCAATCATTTTCCCACATATCCCCTTTTCTTGTTTATATTATTAGAGGAAAAGAGGGACCATTAGTCCAAATCGTACACTTCATTGCCTAAGCGTCTACACTTTGCAACATAAATTCCTCTTGTAACCCCTGTGGTGGGCCGTGGTCGGTACCACCATGCAGTGCATTGGGAAATCAAAGAGGGTATGCATTGAATGCAACAACACACCATAATGAAGCCAGCAATACATGCAATTACAATCAATAATATTTTTCTTAACCATAATCCATTGGGTAACCAAGAAGACAACCACTCCCATGGATCAAAACCTTCAGGTGGATTCAAAGGATTATGGGCTATCATTTGTTCCATATGATCAATAGTAGCAGAGATATTGGTCGATTGATCAGTTATATACATGCAGCAATGAGAATGAATTAAGGCACAAATTCCACCTTTAGAAGCAAGGATCACATCTAAAGCATAATGATGTTGAAGAACTACATTTCTTATTTCTGATATTTCTTTGTTAATCATTTTTAAAGCCAAAATGGTGGAATTAAACAAATTTTCTGTCCAGTTTGCCAATTTATGCAAATCACGGTAATTCATGGCTGCACCTAAAGAAGGCAGAAGGGACCTAGAGATGGCTGTCCCTGTATATTGAGAAATAGGTGATAGTACTTCCCTTCTGTTACGCAAACGGACCGCTGGGAGCTTATCTATTTTATACACCAAGGGTACTACTATACCTAACGTGCAAGTACCAGAAAAGGCAGAGGGGATTTCTTTGTAGGCACGTGTGCCACAAAATAACCATAAATCAGATTGAAGCAAACATGTAGTTCTGCTGCTCTTTCTCATCCAGTCGAACCAAACATAAAAGTCTCTACACGCAGCTTGTTGTTCATAGGTCATGTAGGTTGTGACATTATTAACTGAGACTTTCGGCCTATCACTCATAGTGGTAATTAAAAAAATAAAAAACAAAAAAATTCCATCAAAATACTCATAGGTCCAATTACAATATGGATAATGACAAAAAAATTATTGCTATTATGATTAAAACGAAAACAATAAGACACTATTTTTGCAAGCAACAAAACACAGGTGATAAACTTATACGATTGTCCTTCATATTATTGCTAATCTTAAATGAAGCATGTACTGGAATGCTAGAATACCACCACCAAAAAAAACTCAAAGCTGCAAGAAGCTTTTAAAAATCATTTTTCTCAGCAGTTAAAAAAAGGCAGTAGCCAAGCATAGTCCGCTTGCTGTAACTAAAAAGACTGCAACAAGGTCGAGAACAGAGTCCATTGTCTTCCAGGCCTTGCTGAAGAACCATATTGCAACTTGCTTTCTGTCCGGGAACCATGCCAAAGCACAAAAATGAAACAACTGGAACACACCGAAATTCCCCTCACCCCTCCCTTGCCAAGAGTCCACAATAGTTCCAAGACAGCCCTCTGTACATGCTCAGGGGAACACATCATAGGGCAGGACTCCTGAGGGAGGAGAAAAGAAGAAGAGATCTGTGGGGTAAATCCAAGCGATGCCAATAAGGATGAGAATGGTAAATTATTCCAATGGCCACTTCCGAGCAACCTGTGTGATATTTCGTGGCTCGATTATTGGCATGTAAAAACCACAATCCAGAAGAAGTCACACAACCATTTCTGCAGATACAGGAGCCCATTTGCTGTAAATAAGTCTGATGTACTGCTCCGTGCACTGCTGAGCCAAAAATCCAAACCCAACGAAACGTGGTGACACAGATGGGATGGTCGCTATTGGGGGGCAAAACCCAAGCGATGCCGGTCTGACGAGGGCATCCTTCAAAGCCAGGTTCATTTCCCAGACAAGAGGCGGCAAAACTGTAACGATAAGTGGTAGAAACGGTGGCTTCCCAGGGGGAAGGGGGGCCAACGCGATAGGGTTGAAGATGGCCTTTCAGCGTGCCAGGAAACACTGGAACAGCTGTGGAAGAGCCTCTTTATCCAGGGCACATCAATATGGCGATGTCTCCAATTGCAGTGCAGGTTGAGATTAGGTGAAATCAAAGAAGTTGGACCCTTCCACTGTGGATCTGGAAGCAACCTGTATGACACTAAAGGATGCTGCAATATTTCTTCCTTCCAGAAATGAAGTTCAGCAGGCGTAAAATTCCTGTTGCCAAATAACCAGGGTGACCAATATGTGATCTAAGATGTGCTTCAGAAAATTGACAAGTCCTGGCCTGTATCAAAGATGGGGCACTTTGTGCTGGAGTGACATTGCTGTGCGGTAGATCTGCACTGCGCACGAAAATGGTCCACTTTGCTACATCCAAAGCAGGTTTTATCCTTTGCAGGATTCTGGGGCACGGTGGAGGACAAAGCCGTGGCTAGCAGGCGAGCTTTATGCATCTCAGTGCCCACTGACTGGCAGGCTTTAAGCACATCTGCAATGACTATATTTGGTGTTATCATCAAAGGGCGCAGCGCTTGCTTACAGTCCTCATTATCAAACGCAAGCTGGCGTACAATCAGTTCTTGGGCTGCTACGTCCTGAACTTGCCGCTTAAGAGTGTTATCCAAGCGATCGACAAATTGTCCATAGGGCTTTGTAGGACCCTGTCTGATGCTGCCACCGCGCTCATTCTTGTCATCAGGAACAGAGGACAAAGCTTCTTGGGCGGCAGCAGTAGTAGCTGTCCAATACATGGGATCAAGGGCCAACTGTTGGGCAATAGTAAGAAAATTGCCTTCGCCAGTTAAGCCATCAAGAACATCAGTTTGGTTCAGCATAACAGGGGCTGGGGGTGCAGGGCCATTGTCCTTGACAGAAGAATACAGTTCCTTTATGAATCTCAAATCAAACTGTTCGTGCCGGGCTGGGCCTCCCCCTGGCACGGCAGTAACACTCACAGGAAAAAGATTAGGAGTTGTAGAATCAAAAGCCAACAACGGAGCAGCGGCACGGAGAGATTCTTGGAGAGGAGTAGTAGAAGCGGTGCCAAATGCCTTGGGCGCAGGAGGTGGAAGAACGGGGGGTGCTGCAGAATTTGAAGAATGCAGGGGAGTGACGGGAGAAGCCGGAGGGAGAATGTCCGGCGGTTTAGGAGGTAGGTTTGAGGCAGGCAAAGCGGGAGCTGGGAGGGCGGGCGAAGAAGCTGTTGCGGCAGCCAGAAGAATGTTTGAAGGAGTTAAGCACGACATAGCTTTGTAGACGTTACTCCAGGCGTGCAAAACCTTGACATCAATCTGAGGATGATTTTGAAAGAAGTGTCCAATTTTTTTCCAATCGTCTAACTCCCAATTTCCGTCCTGGGGGAACCAGGGGCAGTGAGTGTCCAGGGCTTTTATAAGGGACTTAAGGTCAGCTTTCCGAACAGCAAGGTTGTTACTGGCCAAAAGGAATTTAAGGTCTTTAAAAAAATTTTTCTGTGGTGCAGAGAGAGATTTTCCCATGATTGCAAGAGTTGCAAAAAGAGCAGGGAGCACTTACCGGAGGGATCCGTAGGAGGATGAGGAAGGCGCCTTTTGCCCTGTCCGGGCGGAGATAAGTGCTGATAAGTCCGTAACGTAGTCCAGAATCACATTCACACGGGAGCTCTCACCGGGGATCCACTACGTGGATGAACGACGCGTCTGCAGCCCTGCCGGGCGAGGTGAGGCTGAACGTTGTAAAACAGCATGAAGTCCGAAAGAAATCACACGGGAGCACTCACCAGGGATCCACTACGTGGATGAACGACGTGTTGGTGAGTGCTGAATAATGAAAAACAACGTGAAGTCCGAAGGCAGTCACATGGGAGCACTCACCAGGGATCCACTACGTGGATGAACGACGTGTTGGTGAGTGCTGAATAATGAAAAACAACGTGAAGTCCGAAGGCAATCACACGGGAGCACTCATTCACACGGGGCACCAATTGTCGAGTTGCAGCTCGGCATCCAGAGGAAAATCAGTCTCACACCAAGATAGGTTCCGAAATATGGCTGCTCTAGGGCTAATGCAGCACAGCTTTTATTGTGTGAAATAGAAAGATACAAAAAATACAAGCCAAGCAATTTGTTCTAGCCAGCAGATAAAGACCTTCGTACTAGACCATGCGAACATCAGGCCATGCCACGTTAGCCAATCATATAGGACAGCACGAGCTGTTCACGCGCTGTTCATGCTCCAAGGATGCTTCTAGCTATGAAATCACCCTGTAACAATAAGAACTTTGCTCATGCTCTCATGTACAAGCAATCATTTTCCCACAGTTACAGAAGATAACAAAGGCAGAGATAAACATAATTAGGAATGGGTAAATAGTAAAATGATACCATGGGCCTCTCTTAAACCTTGAGCTGTATTTTCTAAGGCCAGAGGCAAATGGGGAGAAGCATCTAGCTGACAGAAAAAGAGAGCATTTTTAGGAAATCTTCTAAAAACTGTTTCTTTCTTAAACTGAGAGAAAAGGCAACTGGCTTGGCTGGGGAAAAAGAAGCTTCTTCCTATTTTATTTTGAGGCTGGAAAGGAGGGTGAAAGGGGGAGGTGTAAACTAAAGAGCCTTCTTTAAAAACTGTTTTTTACTGAGTTCCTTCCTTTCTACTTTGAGAAGCTTTATTCTTTTAAAAGGTTACCTATGATAATGTATGAAATATATTAGTTTAAATATATTGGTTTAAATGTAACTATGCAAAGGATTTAGAAAGTAACAAATTTAGATGTTAGATTCTTATTTCATAGAATCATAGAGTCCTAGAGTTGGAATAGACCACAGGGGCCATTGAGCCCAGCCCCCTGCCAGACAAGAAGACGCCATCCAAGCAGTCTTGATATATAGCTGTCAGACATTTGTTTAGAAACCTTCAAATGAAGTAGATCTTTCAATGTTGATGTGAAACTCAAGATCCTTGACATATGTTTAAGATAAAAATTTAAGATTAACCATTTGTTTTAGAAGGCAATAGGGCAAGGAGGGCAAGAGGTGAGCTGGTAATTAAGATTCCATGTAAGATATATTATTACTTATTTGTCATTTATATATAGCTCTTTGTCTCCCTTATAAGGACAGGAGGATATGGGTGTATCTATTGTGATTGGTTATAGCAATCAGCCAATAGGAAATCCAACCAGGCTGATTGGACAGAGGCAGCCCAAGGAGGAGCAAAGGGGGCTGGATTAAGGGAATATAAGTGCTGGCCATAATGGCAGGAGGCCAGGCCAGAGCTTGGTAACCATATACCACTGTGCCTCTCATTTATTTGTCTGACAAATAAATTATTATTTTAATTTCTCTATTGCTGCGTTGAATATTTCATTCCAGCTAAGCGTTAACCACAAGCAGGGTGCTACATGACCAACCCAGTTCCTTCCAGCAGTTTATTACTTTCCCCTTTGCTTTATATATCAACCAAATCCTGAAGTGCACACGCCTACTGTAAATACTTCTACAGTGGTACCTTGGGTTACAGACGCTTCAGGTTACGGACACTTCAGGTTACAGACACTTCAGGTTACAGACGCTTCAGGTTACAGACTCCACTAACCCAGAAATGATACCTCGGGTTCAGGATGAGAACAGAAATTGGGCGGCGGCAGCGGGAGGCCCTATTAGCTAAAGTGGTACCTCAGGTTAAGAACAGTTTCAGGTTAAGAACGGACCTCCTGAACCAATTAAGTTCTTAACCCAAGGTACCACTGTATAGACCAATGAACAGAGTGTGTGGTGGTACAGCCCTTCCCCAGAGGACAACCTGGATTATTTCATTGTGCCAACTCTTACCTGCAAGAATTCAGTCGCTGGCTGTTTCTGTTTCTTTTCCAGCTCCTTGATAAGGTCATCAATAGAGGCCATTTCCTCAGATAGTTTTGCAATATGTTGGTCCTCACAGGATTTGATCTCATCGTCCAGTTCCTTCAGTTGAGCCAGCAGGAGGCGCTCTTGTTCTTCCAGAAACTGGTGCAATTGCTTGAAATCAGCCATGATTTCCTGCCTCTCCATGTCTGTCTGCTTCTGCAAGGAGAGAGTCATGGCCAGACAAAGACATTTAGATGTCCCTTTGATTCCATGTGCGCAACCTGACTGGCAGGGCAGTTGATGTTTACTTCAACACTCACAGTGGTACAGAAGTTCAGTCACAGCTGAGGGAGGCAGGCAGGCTAAATTAGCAGGACACGGCCTCTTTGCTTGCCTCAGTCCTCAGTATTTTCCTGCTGCTCACCTATCACTGATCTATTAGCTGCTGCTGCTGCTCTCTATTTGCTGGTATCTTCATCCTGCCTTGGCCACCTCACTCTGCCTAATAGTAGGGCCGTGAGGAAGTGACGAGAAGGAGGAAGACTGGCTTGGTGGGGTTCATTCTTAAAGGATTAATGCTGGCATGGGTGGACATTTATGGGCTCAAGGACTACATTCGCCCCTAGACAGCCCTACCAGTTTTAGCCTGCCCTGCTCTTCAAGGTCTGAAGCAGAGACCTTTCCCAACTCTACCACCCATTATCCATTTAATTGATAATGCCAATGATCAGACCTGGGACACTGTGCAAGCGAAGAATTAAGGCCTCACTCTGTCAAGTAAAACCATCCTGGAGAGGGAAGCTATACAAGTTTGAACCTACATACCAGCAGATTCTGGCTTTCGGTCTCCCCATTCAGTTTAGAAGACAGAATTTCTTCTCTCTGTTTATTCAGGAACTCCAAATGACGCAGAATTTTACCCTGGGGTGGGTGAAAAGGCATTTGGGTTAGTTTTGGCAGCAGAGATATAAACTGTAACAGGCGTGCCTGTTCTGGAAACCAAGAACACGAAGCTTGAAAGGAGTCTATGTACAGCTTCTAAGAAACTTCCATTCTCAATGTAGAATTAGATCAGGATGAACATATGCATATTTATATAGCTAATATTTAATTTTCTGATTAAATATGGGGGGAAACAAGGGGACTCAAAATTATGGGGACATAGCGTAAGAGATAAAAAGTTTTCTTATATACCAGATTTGCACAAAACAGAATATCTGTATGGGATTTGGATTCAGATCCTGAGCCAATTCAGTCACCCTCTCACATTTTCTGCACCAAACCATGTTCTTAAATTGGGGTACGAACCAAAGGTTGTGGCTGGTGCACAGTCCTTTTCAGAGCTCATTCTTTGTCGTTTTTTCTTTTAAGAAAAACAACTTGCAGTATTCACCATGAAGTTGTCACAGGAAGTGCCACACTGCTGGTTCCACCGAGTTCCCCCAGAAGAAACTGCACTGGCCCAATAACATCCTTTACCCCTCATAACTTCACAACATTTGCTCCTTCTTTCCCCCCTTGCAGTATTTTGCAGGTAGAACTTCCTGGGCCTCTGCTAATAGGAAGCTTTGATATGGTTCTGCAGCAGAATTGTGAGCTACATGGCTACATTGCTAATACCTGATACCTATGCTCTGGGGTTTTTAGACATATCTAGACAGAGGGGAAGCGGTCTTACACTGAGTTATACCTTTCGTCCAACTAGCTCACTAATGGCTGTACTGACTGAATTTCTGATCAAGTACATTGGTTCCTTGGTTCTTAAATGCCTTGGAATTCCAACGCCTTGATCCTTGTTTTCGAATATTTTTCAGAAGCCAAACATACAATGTGGCTATTGTTTCCCTGGGGGTCGCCTGCACCAATCAGAATCTGCGCCTTGGTTTTCAAACATTTCAGAAGTAAAATGGACTTCTGGAATGGATTAAGTTTGGCACTTTTGTTTTTGCTATTTATTTTGTTGTTTTTGTTTTTGAGACTTTTTCAGTTAATTTGTTTTTGTGACTGTGTGGAACCCAGTTCAGCTACTGATTGATTGATTGATTGTGCGATTGCGGAAATAGATAAAAGCCCCCCATCCAAACAATGACTATTATCAGTGCAGGTGAAGAAAAAAAATATTTTTTATTTTTATCATCTACAATACTGTCTTATTTATTTTATAGTAAAGTACATTGATTATTATTTTCATGTTGTGGATCAATGGTCTCGTTAGATAGTAAAATTCATGTTAAAATTAGGGGTTGTTTTTAAAAGTCTGGAACGGATTAATCTGATTTGCCTTATTTTCTAAGGGAAAGTGCGCCTTGGTTTTGGAACACTTTGGTTTTGGAACGGACTTCCAGAATAGATTAAGTCTGAGAACCGAAGTACCATTGTATATTCCCAGCCCTACCTAGAAACGCTAAGGATTTCTGCATGCAAGATGGGCTACTGTGGCCTATATTGATTGATAGATAGATAGATTGATTGAATGAATGAATTTATATACTGCCCTATACCCGAAGGTATCAGGGCAGTTCACAGAACAAAATCCAAATATAAAACCACAAAATATATAATCAAAATAAAAACAACCCCAAAAAAGAACCACGTTTTAAAAGGGCATAAGATGTCAATCAAATCAACCAAAGGCCTGGTTAAAAAGAACGTTTTTGCCTGGCACCTAAAGGTGTATAATGAAGGCACCAGGCGGCCTTCCCTGGGAAGAGCATTCCACAGACAGGGAGCCACTGCAGAGAAGACCCTGTTCTTGTGTTGCCACCCTCCTGACCTCTCAAGGAGGGGGCACACGAAGGAGGGCCTCAGAAGATGATCTCAGGGTCCAGGAAAGTTTATATGGAATGAGGCAGTCCTTGAGGTATTGCGGTCCTGAGCCATTTAAAGCTTTATAAGTCAAAACCAGCACTTTGAATAGGGCCCAGAAATTAATTGGTAGCCAGTGCAGTAGGACCAGGATCAGTGTAATACCCTCAAACCGTCTTGCTCTGGCAAGTAACCTGGCAGCTGAATTCTGCACTAGCTGAAGTTTCCGAACCGTCTTCCTATAACACATTGCAGTAATCTAACCTTGAGGTTACTAGAGCATAGACAACAGTAGTTAGGCTACTCCTGTCCAGATAGGGGCATAGCTGGGTCACCAGCCGAAGCTGATGGAAGGCACTCTGGGCCACAGAGGCCACCTGAGCCTCGAGTGACAGCAAAGGATCCAGGAGGACCCCCAAGCTATGAACCTGCTCCTTCAGAAGAAGTGTAACCCCATCAAGAGCAGGCGATCTCCCACCCATCTGGTCTGGGAACCACCCACTAACAGTGCCTCAGTCTTGTCTGGATGGAGCTTCAGTTTGTTGTCCCTTGCTTATGTGCTATGGAGCTTGCACATGTCTTTAGTGCTGAATACAGTCAGAAGACTGAACTTTGGATATTGGACTTTGTTACTTTTTCTATGGCTGCAGTCCTGAGGAACAAGGAAGTTGTAGAGTAAATCATTAAGTGGCTGCAGAGCTTTCCAGTCATGTTACAAGACACAATGCAGCATATTTAAAAGCAACGGATTTGCAAAGAGCTTGGCAAGAAGGAAGGGCTTCCTTTTTTTCACCAGAAGCATTTGAGCAGGAGCGTGTGCAAAACAAACCTCCTTGTTTGAATCCTTTGCAAGCAGGACTGAGCCACACGAGGCCCCACCTGCAGATCCCTGCACACCTTGAACCTGCAAGCCACCACATCCCAGCTCCCTTCCCTAAGAGCCCAGAAGCCCACTTTGTGGCATGAGAAGGTGACAGTGGTGTTTCTCGCCAGTGTGGTGTAGTGGTTAAGAGTGGTGGACTCGTAATCTGGTGAACCAGGTTCGAGTCTCCGCTCCTCCACATGCAGCTGCTGGGGGACCTTGGGCCAGTCACACTTCTCTGAAGTCTCTCAGCCCCACTCACCTCACAGAGTGTTTGTTGTGAGGGGGAAGGGAAAGGAGATTGTGAGCCGCTTTGAGACACCTTCGGGTAGTGATAAAGCGGCATATCAAATCCAAACTCTTCTTCTTCTCTCCAGGCAACAATGGTACACCCTTTTCCCTCTGAGGACTGGCTTTGGAGTGCTAATCCCTGCATCCCCAGCTCCTGACAACATTTCCACTGGGCAGACTACCCTCCTAGACCACGGTGGGGGGGGGAGGGCTCCTGAGCAGAAACTGGTGGGCATAACATCTGTTTCCCAACATAAATTCTGGGACTCAAGAAAAAGAGAGACTGCTGAGACTGGGGAACATCAAATGCTTCCACTAGGAATATAAGAAGCTGGCTTATACGGAGTCTGTTTTCTATACTGACTGAAAGCTGCTTTCCAGGGTTTGGGTCAAAGGCTGTCCCCAGCTCTACATAAAAAAACTAAGGAATGAACCTGGGACTTTCTTCAGGCAAAGCAGAAGGTGAACTACGACCCTCAGACCAGCCTTCTCCTGCCCTGGTAGTTCTCTGGGTTCCTGGGGCAGGAAAAGGTGGGAGATGGTTGAAATGAGTACTTTTCAAGTTGGAACTTCTTGCGAATGTTCCTACTTCTGAATGCTCAGTACGAGATAGGAGCTGCAGGCCTCGCTATCTGGCTTCAGGCTGCAACATTCACCAGCTGCAGTTCACATCCTCCTCAAGTCTTTTTTTGCCTGGCTAGAATGAACTCCACCAATGCTTCCCGCTTACTTAGATGGTGGACAGAGACGGCAATGAGAGCATTTGTGGGAACTAGCCTACTGCAAAAAGGTTAAATTTTCAAGTGTTGCTCTGTCCCTTTTGCCTCGGGACCCAATAATAATAATAATAATAATAATAATAATAATAATAATAATAATAATTTATTATTTGTACCCCGCCCATCTGGCTGGGTTTCCCCAGCCACTCTGGGCGGCTTCCAACTGAATATTAAAAACAGTACAGCAGCGTTTGGGACACAAACACCCACCCACATGCCCCACCTGAATGTCACCTAGAGAAAAATGGGGCCTTCATATTTCCCCCTAGAATAAGTGAATAAGTGAGCGTCCCTTGGAAGTCTGGTCCCCAATCCTACATCTCCCTACCTGATACTCCTCAAAGGCCTCCTCCTTTGGGATCACCTTGTGGTCCCTGTGCTCCTTGGATTTGTCACACACCACACAGATAGGGTCTTGGTCATCTTCACAGAAGAGCTTCAGGGGCTCCTGGTGTCTCTCGCAAACCTTTCCCAGCGCTTCCGCCCCTCTGGCCATCTGAAGGCTGAATTTCTTGGCTATTTCCACAATGTTCGCCAGTTGCCGGTTGGGCCTGAAATTCCTTTGCTGACAAGGTTCCCTGCACTGAGGGCAAGAAGCATCTTGGTCCGAGTTTCTCCAAGCCTCGGTGATGCAGGTTTGGCAGAAATTGTGACCACAGTCTATGATCACTGGATCTGTGAAATACTCCAGGCAGATAGAGCATGTGGTTTCCTCACAGAGGTTCTGGACTGGACCCTCATCCGCCATTTCGTCTGCCTGAAGTGCGAATAAAAGGCTTAGTTTCGTTTCTCCAGTTTCAAGTCCAAGGGTGTGCCATTCCCTCCCTCTGGGTGACTCATAGTCTTTGCAAAGCAGCAGCATAAACCATGAGAAATCCTTACAGTGTGCAGCTTCACATCCGTACCATGCAGTCAAAGTGCATGATGTCTGCCAAAGAATCCTGGCAATGGCCGTTTACCCCAAAAAGCTACACTTCCCAGCACCCTTAACTAACTACAGTCCCCAGGAAAATTTATGGAGATCCATGTACCTATTATGAGGCTAATAAAAGGTCTACTAACAGACTGGAGCAGGACTTTTGAATCCACCACAAACGGGACACCGTAGCTCAGGGGTCAGGAACCTTTTTCAGCCATGGGCCGGTCCACCGTCCCTCAGACCATGTGGTTGGCCGGACTATATTTTTTTTGCCCCACAAACAACCCAGAGGTGCATTTTAAATAAAAGCACACATTCTACTCATGTAAAAACACGCTGATTCCCGGACCGTCCGGGGGCCGGATTTAGAAGGCGATTGGGCCACATCCGGGCCCCAGGCCTTAGGTTGGTGACCCCTGCCGTAGCTGATATGATTAGGCTTTCAGATCAAAAAGTAAGTTAAAGTAAATCAGTCAAAAGAAAGAAAAGAAAAGCTACACATACACACCCGCTGCCTGCTTAGGTTTATGATTTCATGTGTTTTTATTGTGTGTGTCTACACTGAACTCCCCATCCTGGTCCAAAGCTGTAACCACTATACCACACTGTCTGTATCTGAAGGAGCATCCAATCCAAGTTGGGTTTAAGGATAAAGAGCCCTGAGAAGAAGAGCAGTTGGCACTTTTCCACTACCTGTGTGCACGGATAGCATCCAGTCAACATACTGAGCAGGAAGACGCAGTCTTTCCCCCTGATGCAGTAAGATGGACTGTATTTCTATTTCAATTGTACAGTACTGATTATTTTAAAATTTGCTGTCTCCATGTATAAATGAGCACTAAGAACCACAGAATTGTAGAGATGGAAGGGATCCCACGCGTCATCTAGTCGCAGGACTCTCAGCTAATGCATCTCTGACTTTCATGTACATTTTCATTTAAATTTCTGACGTATTGTTTTTGGTGATACGGAGATGGTCGATCTGCTCTGTCCAAATGCCCTCGCTTGTTTACTTATTTACAATTCCTGCTTCTCTTTGTTCCTTAATTCCTCCACATACTGTGACTTCTCTACAAACAATAACATTCCTCATTTCACCTTTATTTATTAATTTTGTAGCAACATGTTAGATCTTCAACATATTTACACACATACATTAGTAATAATTAGTAATAAGTTTGCATAGGCAAAGACGATCACACATATAATGAAAATAGAACCTTCTCTTTTCCGTATTAAACCTCTGTATTATATACACTGATTCAGAATATACATTGCGGTGGCGCTCTTCTCGGAGGCTGGATCTGCCACCCGAGGCAACTGCCTCACCTCGCCACATGGGTGTGCCGGCCCTGCTGTCCAACTAGCATATAAACATCTGCAGCGATAAATGGCACGCACATATGCAGTAAGCGGAATTGCTTTTATTTATTTACAAGGTTTCTTACATACCTTTCGACATCAGGTCCTAGAGTGAGTGACAACAACTAAACAATTATAAAAAGACATAGAACAACTACTTGAAGCACATAAAACAACCCACCTCTTTAGATAAGTAAGGGGGCATTTAAATGCCCCCATATCAAGTCTCTATTTGTGTATCATGTATTTGCAGACAATTCCTTTTTAATCATGCTTCTATTTTGTGTGTTTCTGTTCTGAATAAAATATAGCCATGGGGTTGTGATCCGAAGCACGCTGCCAATCTGGATCAGGGCCTCATGCCAGTTCCTCATTGAAAAGCCTCCCCTCTTCAGCTACTATTTCCCCCTGAAGCTGTGTCTGAATGGCAGTTTTCATGTGTTTTGTTTCCCACAACAGAACGCTATTTGGAGGAGAAAGTCTGCAGGGCCCATTCAGACTTGACAGCAATAATACTGCATGATAGAGTCAGACTGTTACTAATTCCCTCTAAAGAAGTTGGCAGTTTGGGGCGGGGACTTAATATCCTGAGCCCTTTCCACACCACACATACCCACCCCCAAAAAAAGTTCTTTCCCCAGACCTTTGAGGGAGGAAAGTATGGGTGGGGAGAGGATTCAGTTCCTTCCTCCTGACCCCCCACACTGTTTTTTTAAACTTCCCCACCCATCCCTGGTTTTAAAGGACTTGGCACCTCCCGCTGGCCTGTCAAGTTTGCACCAAATGGCAACCTCATCTCATTTCCCCACACAGACAAAGGAGCAGATTTTCTCCCCAGAGAACAAAGCAGGGAAGAAGGTAAAGAGATCATTATTTGAGTCAGCATCACGGAAGAGTATTACTTGTGCTTCATAGTTCACAAGCACACGAATTCTCTTTGGCCAAATCCCAAAGGTAAGGTGTTGTGTGCTGGCCGAGGGTGATGGTCCCAGAGATATTCCAGGAGAAGTGGAAGCATAATATGCACCAGTAGAAATCCTTCCAATAGCCCAGATCCCAATTCCATCATTCAAATTGACAATATTGTGACCCCTTAAAGACTCCTTGACAACCCCCACAGCCCAGAAGTTCTCGTTCCCCACATCCCATACCCAGGAATGAGTCCCTGAGGTGATTCTCTCAACTCCCATAACATAGGAACAACAATTAATGTTCTTATTTGAGTATACGGGGTCAACGAATGATTGGTTCAACGGGGTCAATGAATGATAGCTTGTTGAGAATCCGAAGGCAAACGATGGTGGCTTCATATATATGTCTCGGGTTGGCGCTTGGCCATACGCTTCTAGGACTAGTTTAGGAATGGCCATGTCTTCACCTACAAGAGAAAGGAAACGATTAGGGAGGGAGTGCCCAAAACCTGCATCCAAGTTTTGTGCAGCTCTGAGTGAGAAGGAGGTTTGAAAAGCCAATGTACTAATGGGGTGGGGGGTGGGAAATCGCTCCCCCATGCAGGTCAGTTCAGAAACTCAGGGAATGCCCCTTGAGGGCAAGGATGCTAGCTCTGAGGTAGGCTTGCTTGCAAAAGGTCCCTGGTTCAATCCCTGTAGGGTGAGTTCCCTGGATAAAACCCTGGAGAGCTGTTGCCAGTCATTCTTGGCAATATGAAGCTAGATGGGCAGTTGGCTTGGCTCTGCAGAAAAGCTGCTTCCTGTGCTCAGCCCTTCTCCCAATCTCACATGTAAAACCCAAAACAAAGAACCCTACCCATCCTGGAAATGTACTTTCTTTTCTGGAGGTCCAGACAGCTGAAGTAACGCTGCCCAATCTGGAACCATATGTTTTACTTGAGGTGCAGGGAGCACAACGCTTAAGGAACAAAACCGATATGAGGAAGAAGTTGAGACTCACACTTAGCTCCTAGGTAATGCTTTAGATTAGGAGTGCTTGGAAGTGTGTTCACACCAATATTTAAAATGTAGTCATCGTATAGGACCGTTTGAGCTCTTCCATGTTGCTGTAATGCGCTTGGGGCTCGTGCCTTGAGGAGCACATTTCCCACGACTGGATGCCCTGAGATAAGGGAGCCGGGTGCACTGGGTTGCCATAGCAACACCAGCAGGTCGAGTGTGCGACTTGTGGAGTCATTCACCCTCCCATTGGTCCAGGAAATATGCCCACATGTAGAGACAGGAATAGTAGCCTCTGGGGCATTGCTTTCATCCTGTCTGTCTTGTCTGTGCCCTGTCCTGTTTACTGTCAAGGGTCTGACACTGTGAGACTCAGGGAAAGAGGCTGTGGGTTTTGCACAGAAGCATTAGCTAGCACGGTGATCAGTGTCAATGGATCTGCTCATACGTATCTTTACTTCAAAGACGATGAAGGACTGCTCTTGTGTCTGGAGACATTAAACACTTGGTTACTTTGAACTGCGTGTGAGGATTTTCCCCCTTAACAAACTCTGGAAGATGTTGTTCAATTGGGAGCAGGAAATCTCGGATGACTCTGCTTGCTGTGCTCATAGCACACACCAGTTGAGATGTGGTGAACTCCCAGCTGACTTCAGGAAGCCACAGCATTCCAGCATTCCCATTACATTTTATGAAAACATTGGGACGGGGGGAGTGTTTCAGAAAAATCAATGCCAAATAATGAATATTACTCAGAATTTTGAATAGAGAAATAGAAAAAAAGAACACTCAAATTTCAAGCTTCAGTTACTCTTGCTTGCTTCCCAGTCCTCCAGTTCTGAGTTAGTTAGAGGACAAAACCAGAGTTTTGAAGTAGAGCAGAGTTTAGGGATGTGACAGGCTGTAAAAGGCAGCAAGACAGAAAGATAATCAGAGCACGAGGGTTAATTCCTGTTTTGAATGCAAGGCTGGGGCTGTGGGAGAAACAAGACTCTCTTGGGGTGTCTCTGAACCCCTCCATCGTAGGCTCAGATTCTATATATGTGGGAATAAACCATATATCCTAAAGACACCACAGTCTCTGCTGTCTCTCATTTCCCAAAAGGAAATACGAACCCAGGGGAGGAAGCTTGGGACCCCAGCAATCTTGTGCTGCTGGGAGATTGAAGTGCAAAACCCTCCCATATCTCATCTGCAAAAATTGTTTAAAGATCTGCCAAACCTGGAAATGTACCTTTATTTTCTTGAGGTCCCGAGAGCACAGCGTCTAAGGAATAAAAGTGAAATGAGGGAAAAGTCAATACTCGTACTGGGCTTCAAGGGCAATGCTTTAGATTTAGAATGTTTGCAAGAGTGTTCGTGTCTAAATCTAAAATTTAGCCACAGTACTCCATCTTTCTCCCTCTTCCAGCATTAGCATTAAGTGTTATGAAAGCATGTTCGGGGTGGGGGTCACAGAGATGACTTGCCTCCCCCAGCTCTGAGAGAGTGAGAAGACAAAACCAGTATTTTGGAGTAGAGTTTAGGGATATGTGACAGGCTGTAAAAGGCAGCAAAACAGAAAGAGAATCAGAGCACGATGGTTGGTTCCTGTTTTGAATGCAAGGCTGGGGCTGTGGGAGAAACAAGACTCTCTTGGGGTGCCTGTGAACCCCTCCATCGTAGCCTCAGAGTGCCTATATGTGTAAATAAACCATATATCCTAAAGACACCACAGTCTCTGCTGTGCCTCATTTGCCAATAGGAAACTCGAACCCTGGAGAAGCAGCCTGGGACTCCTGGAATATTCACCGTTTGGAAATTGGCATGGCATGCAACTCTATATCTATCTATCATCTATCTATCTATCTATCTATCTATCTATCTATCATCTATCTATCTTATCTATCTATCTATCATCTATCTATCTATCATCTATCTATCTATCTAATCTATCTATCTATATCTATCATCTATCTATCTATCTATCTATCTATCTATCTATCTATCTATCTATCTATCATCTATCTATTTATTTATCTATCTATTGATCTAATCTGTCCCACATCTAAAACATCATACAATGACCCTTGTTACCTTTGAATTTCTTGGTCTCCTTCTCCAAAAAAGGATGTATTTTGGAGAAATAATCTATTTGCTGTTTTAATCCACGAGGAAATGCTATTGCATTGATGGTTTTATTCTTATTTTCATTACATCTAGGAAGAAGAAAGTGAGGTTTATTGTGCTCATCAGGTCATTTCAATTCTTTCTTAATTCAGTCGTCAGAATGAAGGAGAAAAGTGGGAACAGCAGGAAGATACCAAGGGCTTGTCCATGACAGGTTTTTCTTTCATTCCCCCCATTTTCCCCACGAAAGTCCCCTCTGTTTACCACTGACTCAGAAAAAAGGTCAGTCGGGTTTTCTGTGGATTGAAAGCTGAATAGAAGCAAACATTTATCGAGTTTTCTGCTGATTTATGTTTGTTCCAATTCTGTGGTAAGCAGCAGGTTTTCCCAGGAAAAGCGGAGGGACAAAAGAAAAGCCTCTCGGACCTGAGCCTAGAAATCACAGGAAAAGCGAACGTGTGGATGAGCCCTGTGATAGCAAGTAATGGTATTGTCTGCCCTGTGACCATTACAAAGACCTATTACAAACTAGAAAATGATGTATAAGGGGGTGGAGAGTATAAAGTGTAAATTTACATAAACATTTTTTCAATTAAAAATTACATATAAATGATCAATCCGTAATCTATTTTACCTCTTTTTAAAAAATCAACTTTACTGTGAAGATGCAGAAATATTTTCAAACAATCTGTCTGAAATTTTGGCGCACATGTTGCATACAGTACCATGTTTAAAATTACAGCTAGGTCAGAAGTGCCTGATTAACTTGTGTCAAAGTTGTGATTTGTCGTTGCTTCTTCGTGATCAGTGTAGGGTATAAATTGGCACAACTTGGTTGAGGATCCAGGTGAATCTGCGGCACAACATTACTGAATATTTTCTTCAACAAATTATGTTTGCACACAAGTAACTAATAAGAGCCTCTCTTTACCCTGGCCTTTGTCATCTAGGAAATGTACTTTAGGCCCACCCAGTTTTCTTGGATTGTAATTTGTTTTAACTATTTTTAATATTGTATTTTAATTCACAAGCTGCCCTGGAACCTGACAGTGGAGGGCAAGTAAGAAATCTAATAATCCACCACCATCACCAACAACTCTGCTATGATATGAAATATACAGTAGATGAAGAAATATCATCACTTCTTTCTAAAATATGCATTTTATATACAGTGGTACCTCGGGTTACATACGCTTCAGGTTACACAGACACTGCTAACCCAGAAATAGTACCTCGGGTTAAGAACTTTGCTTCAGGATGAGAAGAGAAATTGTGCTCCAGTGGCGCGGCAGCAGCAGGAGGCCCCATTAACTAAGTGGTGCTTCAGGTTAAGAACAGTTTCAAGTTAAGAACGGACCTCCGGAACAAATTAAGTACTTAACCTGAGGTACCACTGTACATTCTCCCCCCCAAATCCTATCCATTTTGTATGTTCTTCTATGCATCCCCCAATGTGCTTTTTGTACATTTCCCTGCATGAGATACACAGTTTTGGGTGGATTTTTTAAGCCAAAACAAAATTTGTAAAAGTGTGCAATCAGATAGGTAACTGTTTTTTGATCTGCTTATTTTTCTGTAAACAGTGAATTAAATTGGTTCACATGAAAGTATAGACCAAATAAAATTATCCCTTACCTCCAAGGACGGAAATTAATATTATTCATATTCATATTAAAGCCACATACCTTTCCAGGATGCTTCTCATATTCTATGGAAGATGGAAGAGACAGAATGAGAGAAATTCAGTCCCTTGCACCAGTTGCCTCCAGCAGTTTATTATTACCAAATACTGAAGTGCTCATGCCTACTGTAAATACTTCTATAGACCAATGAACAGCCCTTCCCCAGAGGACAACCTGGACGGTTTTGTTCCCCCATTGCTCACCTGCAAGAATTCAGTCACTGGCTGCTTCTGTTTCTCCTCCAGCTGCCTGATTAGGTTGTCAAGGGAGGCCATTTCCTCACAGAGTTTGGCAATATATTGATTCCTACAGTTTTTAATCTCATTGTCCAGTTCCTTTAACTGAGACAACAGGAGGTGCTCTTGTTCTTCCAGAAACTGGTGCAATTGCTTGAAATCGGCCATGATTTCCTGCCTCTCCATGTCTGTCTGCTTCTGCAAGGAGAGAGTCATGGCCAGAAAAAGATGTTTAGATGTCCCCTTAATTCTATGTGCACAAGCTGACTGGCAGGGCAGCTGATGTTTACTTCAACACTCACAATGGTATAGAACATCAATCACAGCTGAGGGCGGCCGGCAGGCTAGCTTTGCAGGACACGACCTCTTTGCTTGCCTCTGTCCTCAGTATTTTCCTGCTGCTCACCTACCGATCTATTAAGCTGCTGCTGTTCTCTATTCCCTGCCTTGGCCACCTCACTCTGCCTAATAGTAGGGCCGTGAGGAAGTGACGAGAAGTAGGAAGACTGGCTTTGGGGAGTTCACTTCATTCTTTAAGGATTAATGCTGGCACGGCTGGACATTTTTGGACTCAAGGACTACATTCGCCCTTAGACAACCCTACCAATTTTAGCCTATCCTGCTGAATGTTGTGACCTTGCAGGCAGCTGCTCTTCAAGGTCTGAAGCAGAGACCTTTCTCAACTCTACCACCCAATATCCATTTAATTGATAATGCCAATGATCAAACCTGGGACGCTGAGCAAGTGAAGCATAGGCTTCACCACAGAATGAAGGCCTCACTCTGTCAATATAACCATCCTGGAGAGGCAAGAAGATTTGCACCTACCAGCAGATTCTGGCTTTCGGTCTCCCCATTCAGTTTAGAAGACAGAATTTCTTCTCTCTTTTTGTTCAGGAACTCCAAATGACGCAGGATTTTACCCTGGGGTGGGTGAAAAGGAATTTGGGTTAGTTTTGGCAGCAGAGATATAAACTGTAACAGGCATGTCTGTTCAAGAAACCAAGAACACAGAGGTTGAAAAGGGTCCATGTACAGCTAGGAAACTTCCGTTCTCAATGTGGAATTAGATTAGTGTTCACATATGCATATTTATATAGTTAATAAATCATTTTCTTATTAAATATGGGGGGAATCAAGGGGACTCAAAATTATGTGGACACAGCGTAAGATATAAAATGTTTTCTCATATACCAAGTTTGCACAAAACAAAGTATCTGTATGGGATTCAGATCCTGAGCCAAGTCAGTCACCCTCTCACATTTTTCTGCACCAAACCATGCTCTTTTCCAAAGTAAATTGTGGCTGGTGCACAGTCCTTTTCAGAGCTCGTTCTTTTTCTTTTTTTCTTTAAGAAAAACAGCTTTCCAGTATTCACCATGAAGTTATCACAGGAAGTGTCACACTTTTCACATTTGGGGTGGAAAGGTGCAGTTCCCCCGAGTTCCCCAATAAGAAACCACACTGACCCAATAACATCCTTTTTACAACTTATAACTTCACAACATTTGCTCCTCCTTTTCCCCCTTGCAGTATTTTGCAGGTAGAACTTCTGGGCCTCTGCTAATAGGAAGCTTTGATATGGTTCTGCAGCAGAATTGTGAGCACGTGGCTACATTGCTAATACCTGATACCTTTATGCTCTGGGTTTTTGGACATATCTAGAAAGAGGGGAAGCGGTCTTATACTGAGCTATATGTACCTCTGGTCTCAACTAGCTCACTACTGGCTGTACTGACTGGATTTCAGGTCCAGTATATTCCCAGCCCAACATAGAAATGCTAAGGATTTCTGCATGCAAGATTGGGCTACTGTGAACCTCACTTACTTACTTACTTACTTACTTACTTACTTTATTTGCTGACCTATACTTCAAGATCTCAGGGCAGTTCACAGAACAAAATACAAATATAATACCACAAAATATATAATCAAAATAAAAACAACTCCATACCCACCAAAAAAGAACCACGTTTTAAAAGGGCATAGGATGTCAATCAAATCAACCAAAGGCCTGGTTAAAAACAACATTTTTGCCTGGCAGCTAAAGGTGTATAATGAAGGCACCAGGCGGACTTCCCTGGGAAGAGCATTCCACAGATGGGGAGCCACTGCAGAGAAGGCCCTGTTCTCATGTTGCCACCCTCCTGACCTCTCAAGGAGGGGGCACACGAAGGAGGGCCTCAGAAGATGATCTCAGGGCCCTCAGATCATCCTTCCAGCCTTCTCCTGCCTCGGTAGTTCTCTGGGCTCCTGGGGCAGGAAAAGGTGGGAGATGGTTGAAATGAGCATTTTTCAAGTTCCCTTGGAACTTCTTGTGAATGTTCCTACTTCTGAATGCTCAGTACAAGATAGGAGCTGCAGGCCTCACTATCTGGCTGGAACATTCGCCAAGAGTCAGAGTCAGACCTCTGGTTTGTTTTCTATACAGACTGCTTTCCAGGATTTGGGACAAAGGCTGTCTCCAGCCCTACAGAAAAATGCTATGGCCCTCAGACCAGCCTTCAAGTTTTCAAGTTCCCTTGGAACTTCTTGCGAATGTTCCTGCTACTGAATGCTCAGTAGAAGATAGTGAGTCCTGCAGCTCCTAACTCGCTTCTGGCCTCTCCCCAGGCTGGGACATTCGCCAGCTCCAGTTCACATCCTCCTCAAGTCTTTTGCCTGACAAAATGTGTCCCTGAACTCCACTAATGCTTTCCACTTACTTAGATGGTGAACAGAGATGGCCAGGAGAGCATTTGTAGGAACTAGTTGACTGCAAAAAGGTGAAAAAGTGTCCTCTTTTGCCTCAGGCCCCAATAACCAGCAGCGTTTGGGACACAAACACCCACCCACATGCCCCGCCCGAATTTCGCAAAGAGAAAAATGCAGCCCTCAGGCTGAAATATTTCCCCCATCCCTAGGATAACTGAGCATCCCGTGGAAGTCTGGTCCCCAATCCTACATCTCCCTACCTGATACTCCTCAAAGGCCTCCTCCTTCGGGATCACTTTGTGCTTCCTGTGCTCCTTGGATTTGTCACACACCACACAGATGGGGGCTTGGTCGTCTTCGCAGAAGAGCTTCAGGGGCTCCTGGTGTCTCTTGCAAACCCTTCCCAGCACTTCCACCCCTTTGGCCGCCTGAAGGCTGAATTTCTTGACTATTTCCACAATGCTGGCCAGTTGCCGGTTGGGCCTGAAATTCCTTTGCTGATGAGGTTCCCTGCACT